TTTAGCCCAGAGTGCAACCGTCTAGTCCTGGAAGCAAGTGATGGTCAACAGGCGTATGTGGCACCAAATCTGGTTGTCAGACTGAACGTAACTTCAGATCCACTTGAAGCTGCCGAGGAGGCCAGGTACGGTTTCTCATTCTGACGCTATTTGTCGATTGGCACGGTTGGCTCGTGGGTACTTTCTTATAATATCGAATATGTTGTGATGGCCGGTGCTGGAGGTGTACCAGTGGGGGCGCCGAGGCCGCCGCTCAAAAGAAGAGAGGGGCAGTGCGATACTTTGTTTATGTTATTACTGGACGTATAGGGGTCACTTTAGGATTTGTCTGGTCTCTGTACGCGTAGGCTGACCTTCGGGCCACACTCAGGCCCCATTTACCCTGTCGTCTTCGGAATACACATATTCAACCTCACTTATGCCTTATTTCACCCTATGGGAAGTCTCTGGATGCTACACAGCCGTCTCATGAAGTCCGTTTTTCAGGGGGGTAAGAGTGAAAAGATAGGTCTAGCACGGCTTGGGTCGATTTTCTAAATGATGCTGGAGGACTACGAAAAAGCACTAACAAAAACATAACTATAAATTTTCACCCTGATGTAAAACTGTACCGTTACGGCTACATTTAGGCGAACAATTGATGCCAATCCTAGTTGTAAAAGATATTGCCAACGCCAATGTTTACTTCATGCCTTCCTAGATAGGTTTAATTGTCCAGCATAAGTAGTGCCTTTATAATTGTTTGCAGATGATGTTTGTGAAAACCTAAAAAACTAGTTATGTGTCTTAAAAAGTTTTTTAATCTTTTAGAAATGTTTTCAGTAAACAAAATAGCAAGAATGTTATCCATGAGGCAGAACTTGAGCTCCGGTAAAGGATATGAACGAATTTGTTAATAATTGTAGTCATAATCGAGTGTTTAGAACCTATATATTTTATTCGTCAGATGGTTTCTTCCCATTTCGATTATTTAATATATCTCATTCACAACTCTGGACCATAAAAGCACTTCTCATCTCGACATTAAGGCAGAGCGTACGCTGATAATAAAATCCTTTGCATACAATGAATTGCTTTATCAATTCTCTAATGCCTAAATTTTGCTGCCTCATGACAGTTTTAATTCATTAACTTATTATTTATAGTTCTTGGCGCGTTTTCGGTACGTTCTGTGCACTGTTTCTTGCTGCGGGTTTGCGCTGTCTACTCTAGGTGCTTTTAAATTCTGTGTTTGCCGGATCATTGGCATTTACTATTGTTGCCTTTGGTTGCCTATGTTCATCGATATTTTACGAACTTAATTATTTTTTAACATTGAATTTCTATTTCAGAAGTGTAGTCCCCCATTTATCACGACTTCGAATTTCTCAGCATTACTGTTTACTGGTGACATTTGTTCTCCGTTTAGATATGATCGATAAAATCGCTCTTCTCAAAGATGCCGCTACTCGGCTCCGCATAAATAGTATTAAAGCCACTGAGGCCGCAAAATCAGGCCACCCTACCTCTTGTTCTTCCATTGCCGAGGTTATGGCTGTTCTCTTTCTTGACGAGATGAAGTACTTCGTCTACCAGCCGCGTCACCCCTCCAATGATCGCTTTGTATTATCAAAAGGTCATGCAGCTCCCATACTTTATGCTGCTTGGGCTGAAGCCGGACTTCTTTCTGAGGCGGAGCTTCTCAATCTGCGTAAAATTGATTCTGATCTTGAAGGTCATCCTACACCTGTTAGTCTTAATTTTTAGTCAGCATTCGTTTTGCTCATAATTTTAATTATTGTTTTCCAACTTTCTATTCAGCGCCTCAACTTTATCGACGTAGCTACGGGTTCCCTTGGCCAGGGTCTGAGTAATGCCGCCGGCATGGCTTACACTGGAAAGTACATTGACAAGGCAAAGTATCGCGTCTACTGCATTATTGGTGACGGTGAGTCTGCTGAGGGTAGCATATGGGAAGCCCTGGCCTTTTCGTCTTACTACAAGCTGGACAATCTTGTGGCCATTTTCGATGTCAATCGTCTTGGTCAGAGTCAGCCGGCGTGCCTTCAACACGACCTAGACTGCTATCGACGCCGCGTTGAGGCCTTTGGGTACCTACTCTGAAGTGATTAATTGAACATACAAAGACCAGCTTTACCAGAAATCCTTGTTATTATTTTGTTCTACATTTAGATGTCATGCCATAGTTGTAGACGGTCATAATATCTCGGAACTCTTGAAGGCATTTGAGAAAGCTCGTGTAATTAAAGGAAAACCCGTGGCAATAATTATGAAGACCTACAAAGGTTACGATTTCCCCGATGTTTCGGACAAGGAGAACTGGCATGGTAAACCTTTGGGCTCAAACTCCGCCAAAACCATTGAACACTTGGAGAAGGAGCTGACCGTACCCTCCACCCTGGGCAACCTGAAACCTCAGGAACCATTGGTAGACTGCGAAGAGATGCATCTTCTTGGCACCCTTAAGCTGCCCACCCCACCGCCCTATAAGAAGGGTGACAAGGTAGAGATTCATCTTCCTTTTACCTACTTGTCGATTCGATGTGTTCACAACTGTTTAAACGACATGCACAAACCATCTATGGGTGTCGGTATGCCCTGTAGATTGCGACTCGTGAAGCCTACGGCAAGGCTCTTGCTCGCCTCGGCTCTATTTATCCAAGAGTAATTGGCTTGGACGGTGACACAAAAAATTCCACCTTTTCAATCTACCTTCGTGATGCACGACCAGAGCAGTTCATTGAGTGCTTCATCGCGGAGCAGAACCTTGTGGGTGTGGCTATTGGCTGTGCCACACGGCAACGCACTGTCCCCTTCGTGAGCACATTTGCTGCATTCCTTTCTCGTGCCTATGACCAAATCCGTATGGGCGCCATCTCTCAAACTAACTGCAACTTTGCCGGCTCCCATGTTGGAGTTAGCATTGGTGAGTCACTGTGTTGCTACAAACCTTTATCCACTTGATGGTAGGTGGTCCCGGACTCTGTAACATTTGTCCAGGTGGCAAAATTTAATGACATATTATCGTGTTAGGTAAGATGTCTTGAGGTTGATAGGCTATTTTTTTCAATCTGAGTGTCATTTGCCGTTGATACAGTCTCCACTCCAAAAATGGGCCGGGTTTTGGTAAGTCCAATTTGCCTAAATTCCAAAAGTCTCCGAAGTACGATTTGTCTCTCCGTTTGGTTTGTATGTCTGTTCGCTTCACTACCTCAGCTTTCATTGGTTGGTAGAAGCAGTGGTAGCCAAGGTCATTCACTACGAGCACGGAACTTACACTAATTGCAGAAGTGTTAGAGCCAATGAAGGCTCTGTGTAAATAACTCGTAGTTTGGTGGGCTTTTGACGGTAATATGTGGTAAGGGGAATGCCAAGGCCATGTCCCACTGTAGTTCTTTATGGGCTCAGTTCTCGGTACCATAGTCTTCTTTCTTTGGTCTTTTTTACTCCATCTTGTGTAGTGACTGATAGATTCATTGTCTTTCGCACTAGTAGTCATTTACCCCCCTCTGGTCTTCAGGCTGTCTTGATCGAGATGTAAATGTGAGGTTATTCAGTTCCTTTTTTAGTGAATGTTATATTCTTTTAGGTGAGGATGGTGCGAGCCAAATGGGGCTGGAGGATCTGGCAATGTTCCGCGCAATTCAAGGTTCCACGGTCTTCTATCCATCAGATGGTGTGTCTTGTGAACGTGCTGTTGAATTGGCTGCCAACACCAAGGGTATTTGCTTCATCCGCACAGGTCGTCCTGCGGTCCCCATCATCTACGATGCTAATGAAGACTTTGTTATTGGTAAAGCTAAGGTAGGTTTCACTCTTTTCCACTTTTCTGCTTTACTCCAGCTGTTTTCAATTCACTGGTGTCCCTCCACCTAGATTAGGAAGCTCATATATTCTGCAATCAGGTAACTTTTTCACTGGTCGTTTTTTACGCGAATGGGCGTGAAGTGAAAAAGGTGTTGAGGGAACAAAATAAACTCCTTATTTATTCTCAGGTTTGTGTGACGGCTCAGCCAAAGGGTGAGGATCATGTAACGGTAATTGGTGCTGGTGTGACTCTCCTCGAAGCCCTTAAGGCTGCTGAAGTCCTCAAGGCGGAGGGCATCAATCTACGTGTCATTGATCCCTTCACCATCAAGCCACTCGACGCCGATTTGATCGCTTCCTCAGTTAAGCAAACTCATGGACGTCTCATCACTGTGGAAGATCATGCACCTCAAGGTTAGGTTCAATTGGTTGTGCTTTTGCCTAGCTAATCCAGTCTCCACTACTGTTCACTTGTGATTACACAGGCGGTCTCTCAGAGGCGGTGGCAGTAGCACTGGGCGAGAAGGGTGTGAGCTTCACACAGCACGTATTGGCCATCAACGAGGTGCCACATTCCGGCAAGCCAGATGAATTGCTCTCCAAGTATCGCATCAACTCAACAGCTATCTGCGAGGAGGCACGTGCTCTCATGCACATCTAGTCGTCTAAACTAACTTGTTCTAACTCGTAGTCACTCGTATATCTTCCACACTTTGTTTTTCCAATGCTTCCATGCATTCCTAATGATTGTGTTAGTGATAAAAGCAATAATGACACATTCCTTACATGACTCTTCTCACAATTTATTAATTTCGTTCCGGGGCCTCCTTCTTTGTACAGTTTTTTGGTCTTGGCAAGTTGCTTCATTTTCTTAGCTGATTAGTTCAGAATGATGATGGGGTGGATAATTAGGGATTCTAGTAGGGAGGCCGAAATGTATCAGAGGTAACAGATAGTCTATAATGGCAGCCAATGCGTTCTAGCCATGCACACAGGAGTCAAGGGGGTTAATTAGGGACGCTCTTTGCAAGTGCGTATCATCTGGTCTGGAAAAAGGTCCTTCTGGTTAGGATTGTCATCTCAGAACTTCGTTCTTGTCCGAATAATGACAGGTCGCCGAATCTTTATGAAGTTGTACTCGCATCTGCGCTCACGCGATTGGTTCACATCCAACCGAGGCTTACTTTACCCGCAATGAACACCAGTCCAAGGTTACTAAACCGTAACTGAAATCTTGGTGACATGGCTCAGACTCCCTACCCTAATAGCCTCCATGCGTGTACACGTTGACTGTACGGTCTTGGTTACCACTCAATCTCAGCAGGTCCAAATCACATAATTGACAGCACCTTTTACGACGCTTTTTATCGCCAGGGTTAATTATCATTCTTGACGCAAACGCACTTGACGTGCTGTTTCTTGAGAAGGAAACAATAGTCTTAATAGCGGAGGGTGTGAATAAGGAGCGAAACTAACAACACTTCATGCCAGATTGATGTATCAACCATGTGTGGTTCTTCAACGGCAGGATCACGGCACTCATAACCGCGTGTCAATATGCCATTCATGTCGGAGAGCGCGGTATATGACCTCCCACTGACAAACTTGTCCATTTGGCAGTGCATCGGAACATGTCTATTAATTGGTTGCCTTAGTCGACCTTACCACATCTACCGCGATGTCTGCATCGCCTACCCTCAAAGTGGGCCATAAGTGACGAGTCATCTGGCAGTTGTAAGCCAGTCATATCAGAGTTAAGGCAAGATAATGACTACTGCAATCTTTATGACCCGTTTGCGAGGGAGAACTCACGGATGAACTTTGTGGATAATTCATGTGTTTGCTCGCAGGATGCAGACATCAGTGTTGCAGATTATGGCTGGTAGGAGGTGCACAGTGCAGCGTTCACTTGGCTTCCCATAGCTTGTTTTCCTTCTGACCTCTATGTGGAACAACATTCGCATTCTTTTCCTGGTATTTGTTACCCAGTGCAGACGTTACCGCAGGTCATTGAATTAGCTCACTGTGTCAGGATCTTCTGACTGACCAATTCAATCGTTGAGCATGAGTATGTTCAGGTCTATTCATCTGTTTCAAATGGAGTGAACCCAAACCATGATCACTTAGCTATTCTTGCTAGTTTCTCCTTCAATGCCCCTACCTTTTTTTCATCAATGGGACTGCTGTCACCATTTTTTCCAAATCTAAAAGTGAATTTGAAGCCATACTCGACGGTAATGGGCGCAGATCTCCATAAAACTTTAAAATTGACTCTTTCAACAGACCCAAGATTGAGATCATGGACGTCGGGATGGCATCCATTGTCTACAGAATTTGCAACATAATGCTGAAGTCTGAGGTATTGTGAGTTTCGAGGCACATGAACTAGACTCGACCAGACAGTTGGTCGTTCATATCTATGAAGCTGGATTGTGATTGATGGAGAGCCAGTGGAAACCATTGATTGAGGGAAAGAGGGTTCTGACCCCCTAACTGAGTCACTTGGTTTATGTTCCTCAGTTGGATTGGGAGCAGTCTACGCATCCATGACCAACGCCTTAGGTCGAAGTTTAAAAGGAGCTTGGCATCACTGCCCTGGGAGTGGGAAGAGGAGGAGGGAAGGGCAGGTCGTCTGAGGTCAATTCCAAGTCTAAGGTTAAGTGAGGAGGGATAAAATTAGATCGCTAGGACCTAAATTATGAAAATGGTGAGGTGTCAGAACGCCTCTCTCGATTAGAGGGAGCTTCCTCTAATAATTCTCAAGTCTGCTTGCACAACGGAAATGGCTGTGCCAAGGCGTTCACTCTCTTCATTTCATCACAGATCTAATTAACACAGGGTCGCTAATTCATTGCGGTGTGCGATGGGTGGTGCCTACTTTAATGCGCTATCACGCCCTTCACATCTTGCCTAGGGTAGCCGTCTAGGTGAATGTGGAGCAGGTGTGAAGTGGTTGCGTTAGAAAACGTCTACTTTCGCCGCGTTCGAAGATGCGATTATCCACCTGAAGTTTGTGTGTCTAGCTACAATTCAGAGGACCACGACATTGATTCCGTTCACAATCACCGCTGCAGTCTTCTTGTTCTGAAGAACCTGAGACAAAGCACTCAAAGCGATTAGGTGTGCAGGGGGAGGCTACCTATACCAGGTTTGTGACCACCACTTCCACAAGAGCTTGAAAGGAGAATGAGTCTGCACAAGACATGGTGGACCGGCGGTTGACATTCAGGCAATCGTGGTGCAATGAAAGCTTTCACTCCATTGTTTAATCACCAAATTAGCTATTGGTTTAAACTTGCGAGATGAGGTGAAATGGCTTTTAATTCATTCTTCATTCTGACATGGTGGTGACCTAAACGCGGTTTTTTGGTGCCACTGTTTGAACCAACATCCGTCAGGACAAAATTCAGTTGATTTATTCTTCAAACAAAGTATAAACAGGTCTGCAGATAAACAACGCCGAAACAGCGACACTTTTGGTTCTGTCGATCTGGTCTTCAATTCATAGCCAGTTCAGTCTGCAAAAGTAAGTCTATCCAATTGCTGTATTGAAAGCCAGCTGAAACTGAATCATTCACTTGGCTCAAACAGACAGTGCTACGGAGTTAAATTAACGAGTTGCGCCTTGTTTGTTTTAGTAATCAATCACTCCCTCCTAATGCGTTGCATCGCACGGTAATGAAACGGATACTGCGACCTTCCGATTCGTTTGCTCTTTTAGAAGTAGCATCTAAGTTGATTCTAAAGAGGATTCTTCAAACACCAATTTTTAAGTCGAACAACTGACTTCATGTTGGCCGCTACACCTTTCATATCATTTTCCGTGTGGAGGATGACAACAAGATCCTGAAGGCGACCATCCAGGGCTTCGGTCACATGGCACAGTGATTAAGGTCTGCGCTCCCACTTTGTGTGAGCCAATTAGTTGAGAGGTTAATCGTGTTTCGAGGTTTATGAGGCCTTGATAGATGATGGGGTCTCCACCTCCACTGCCCAATGCTGACAGATTCGACTTCAAAATTTTTATCGCATTTGTACTACTTACATCCTCTTGGTAGGTGACTTGCCACTTGCACTAAACTCCTTCACCTAACTACACTACAAGCTTTTCAGACCTATAAGACGGAAGTAGAAACAGAGTGGATGTCGTTTAGGGGCATGCATTAGCATGGCCTTCCACCATTTACAAACCACGGAGTTTATTTTCACTCACTGCACGACCTAGAGATAAGAAGAGGTTAACAGTGCAACCGCCTTAGCTTTCAGGTAGCAGGGAATTTGGCATCACTTTGTCGTCAGTTGTCATATTGGATGATGGAGAGGTGCCATTATTTACTTTTTATACCATTGCATGCTCAATGAAAGTGATGATCTTGAAACTGCTGTCACATATTGCATGGAATTATCGGTACAGAGGGAAGAGGAGGCATTTGCTATGGAGAAGCTAAATGACAACTCATATATTTTTCAAGAGGTGTTGGAAGATGACAAGATGGGTCAGACAATGACACTTAAGAGCACCGCTTTGTTGAGCGGTCAAAATAAGTGGTTTAATGAAACCTTCAATCTTGCCATTATCTATTTCCTCCTCTTTTTCTATCCTTTCACACCTTGTTGTAGCTATTCCCCCAAAAAAAAACATAAGAGTATTTTTTTCACGTTCCTAATGTTTTTGACTCGAAGACGTCGTGTGTCCTGCACCCGTTAAGTCAGTTGCAGCAGACAAAGGTCTTCAGTCGCCCATAGGGAAGGCGACGTGATGTCAGCCTCTAACTTGCACAAGCGCGCATGCAGTGAGCAAACAAAGGCGCTCGTGTAGAGGTCTTTTTTGATTGGTCACTTGGGTAGAGTGCATAAGGCAATTGGCCAGGGCAGTAGTCTGAGCTATGAGAGTGATAACCACAATGTGGTTGGCATAAATGCATATTTTTAAACGCATTTGACGACCACTGAGTGCAAAGAAAAGAGGTAGAAACTAGACTGGTGTCCAATAGTTGGAAATATCACTTTTGTGTGCTCTAGGTCTGAGAACTTTCCGACCAACTGCTCACTCAATCGGATGTTAGTAGCCACAACGTTTGGGAGGGACTTTTAATGCTTCCTCGGGATCCTCGAAGTTCCTGACGTTCGAAGATTATACGGTAAGTCGCACCAGTAAGTCATATTTATGTTAAAATTACCTCTATTGAATGTGTGTGGCACACCGGCTAGTCAGATTAACTAGCAAATGGCCGTAAAATATGTCAGCTATTTGAGGTCACTCTGTGTTAATACAATTGATGTCGTGTTGAAATGCTTATTCAACTTTGCTTTTATCAAGCAGTGATTTCGTGCCTATATCTGCCCATTCTCTGATGTCAGGCTCTCTCAGGGAGTAGATTAGTCAGCGAGGTCATCAGTAAGCTTTCCATGATTAAGTGAGCTATAGCCTGCAGAGTAGCAAAAGGAATGATGAAAATGCGGGGCTGAGGTGCACTGGCAGGCACGGAAGCTTTTATGATACCTCCGTCCGACAGAGCATTGAACGTGACATGCAAAAACTGGATAGGGCAGTGTCCAAGTCCACGAATTAGAATGGATGTTTCACATTGGCACTTAAAACAAGAAGTGGACCACTGGCTAACTATACAAAGCCTCCGTCCAAATTCAGGTGTGACCTGAAAGTGACTTTTGGTAGGGGGATTGGAAATAGCCTTCTTTAATCATAGATTTAAGTTGTTTTATTTCCTTTAAGAAAACGAGTCGGTAGACTCGCCATTACGGCGAGTAGACAGTGTACAGCGCTGCATGTTTGCTGGACTTCCCATCCCTCGGTCTGAAGCTTGTGGTTGGTAAAGGTGTGCCGGATAGTGAGTCTATTTCCAAAATTCATGCTCCTCACTACGGGATAGAAATAGCCTCGAGTACCCACTCGGAAGAGGCCAGAATGTAAATGGATGTCACTGAAATCACTGGTACTAACACATTCAACTCATGGCTTGGGTTTTTTAGCCACCGACCTCCTTGATTATTCACTTACGTCGCAGTTGGCTGGGATGATTTTTACGTGTCCATCGTAAGCACAGAGGTATCATAACTAATAAAATCGCAATCGCAGACATTAATATCCTTTTCAAGCAGGATATAAACAGGATATGGATTTACTTCGACTTTCGAACATCGAAAGGAAGGAAGACACGGTGTGCGTGCGTTGCATAATCGGGTGTAGTAGAGACTAGTTTCTCTGGTGTATACTTTAAAGGTAGCTCAATCTAAGTCCATAAAACCAGGAGAAAAACAAACAAAAGAAAGGTTGGCCTGATGATTCATTTAGGCACCTTAACCCTTCATACGTAGTTGTGACAATAGCCGTTTTATGCGAAAAAAATTCATTACGAGACTTTAAATATTGCAGCTTAGCTCAGTTCCTGTTTACTAATTTCACTTGCCTGTTTGACAGGCGCTTTTACAGAAGAGGAGTTCCTCGGCGACTTTCGTACCGAGGTTGCTGAAGTAAGTTTCAGTAGGCTTGGACAGGAACTTGCCACGGTTCTGCATCCACATAAAGTAGTTTAAGGCCATAAGTCTCACTCCAACAACACTATATGTGGGGTTGTCAACCCCATGCAAGACGGACCCGTTCAGGTGTCAGTGGAGGTGACTCGAGCGCGGCATGATCCATCGTTCCCATCCCCTCTGTTTATGGCATTC